AATTACTAGAATTATATCCGTAACCAGAACAATTACTAGAATTATATCCGTAACCAGAACAATTACTAGAATTATATCCGTAACCAGAACAATTACTAGAATTATATCCGTAACCAGAACAATTACTAGAATTATATCCGTAACCAGAACAATTACTAGAATTATATCCGTAACCAGAACAATTACTAGAATTATATCCGTAACCAGAACAATTACTAGAATTATATCCGTAACCAGAACAATTACTAGAATTATATCCGTAACCAGAACAATTACTAGAATTATATCCGTAACCAGAACAATTACTAGAATTATATCCGTAACCAGAACAATTACTAGAATTATATCCGTAACCAGAACAATTACTAGAATTATATCCGTAACCAGAACAATTACTAGAATTATATCCGTAACCAGAACAATTACTAGAATTATATCCGTAACCAGAACAATTACTAGAATTATATCCGTAACCAGAACAATTACTAGAATTATATCCGTAACCAGAACAATTACTAGAATTATATCCGTAACCAGAACAATTACTAGAATTATATCCGTAACCAGAACAATTACTAGAATTATATCCGTAACCAGAACAATTACTAGAATTATATCCGTAACCAGAACAATTACTAGAATTATATCCGTAACCAGAACAATTACTAGAATTATATCCGTAACCAGAACAATTACTAGAATTATATCCGTAACCAGAACAATTACTAGAATTATATCCGTAACCAGAACAATTACTAGAATTATATCCGTAACCAGAACAATTACTAGAATTATATCCGTAACCAGAACAATTACTAGAATTATATCCGTAACCAGAACAATTACTAGAATTATATCCGTAACCAGAACAATTACTAGAATTATATCCGTAACCAGAACAATTACTAGAATTATATCCGTAACCAGAACAATTACTAGAATTATATCCGTAACCAGAACAATTACTAGAATTATATCCGTAACCAGAACAATTACTAGAATTATATCCGTAACCAGAACAATTACTAGAATTATATCCGTAACCAGAACAATTACTAGAATTATATCCGTAACCAGAACAATTACTAGAATTATATCCGTAACCAGAACAATTACTAGAATTATATCCGTAACCAGAACAATTACTAGAATTATATCCGTAACCAGAACAATTACTAGAATTATATCCGTAACCAGAACAATTACTAGAATTATATCCGTAACCAGAACAATTACTAGAATTATATCCGTAACCAGAACAATTACTAGAATTATATCCGTAACCAGAACAATTACTAGAATTATATCCGTAACCAGAACAATTACTAGAATTATATCCGTAACCAGAACAATTACTAGAATTATATCCGTAACCAGAACAATTACTAGAATTATATCCGTAACCAGAACAATTACTAGAATTATATCCGTAACCAGAACAATTACTAGAATTATATCCGTAACCAGAACAATTACTAGAATTATATCCGTAACCAGAACAATTACTAGAATTATATCCGTAACCAGAACAATTACTAGAATTATATCCGTAACCAGAACAATTACTAGAATTATATCCGTAACCAGAACAATTACTAGAATTATATCCGTAACCAGAACAATTACTAGAATTATATCCGTAACCAGAACAATTACTAGAATTATATCCGTAACCAGAACAATTACTAGAATTATATCCGTAACCAGAACAATTACTAGAATTATATCCGTAACCAGAACAATTACTAGAATTATATCCGTAACCAGAACAATGACTAGAATTATAATTATAACCAGAACAATGACTAGAATTATAACAGTAACCAGAATAATTACTAGAATTATATCCGTAACCAGAACAATTACTAGAATTATATCTGTAACCAGAACAGTGACTAGAATTACAATAATAACCAGAACAATGACTATAATTATAACCGTAACCAGAACAATGACTAGAATTATAATAATAACCAGAACAATGACTAGAATTACAACTATAACCAGAACAATGACTAGAATTATAACCGTAACCAGAACAATTACTAGAATTATATCTGTAACCGGAACAGTGACTAGAATTACAATAATAACCAGAACAATGACTATAATTATAACCGTAACCAGAACAATGACTAGAATTATATGATGAATTTGTGAACAGGATGTACAGTATGAGTTTATACCCAACCATCACTAGACCCAGTAGAATTACTTCACACAGTGCCACACTCATTGATAATATTTTCACAAATAACATTGAATACACTAATGTCAGTGGCCTAATGATATGTGACATAACTAACCATCTGCCAGTCTTCACATTGTATGATGACAATTATAAAAATAACAAAACTCCCCAAAAATCTATATAGAAACATACAAGGACAGAAGAAGCAATTAATTCACTCAATTACGACTTAATGGAACAAGACTGGAACATTGTATACAGAGAGAAAGATGTGGATAGAGCGTACAATAGTTTTTTAGAAATATTTAGCACATTATATAACAAAAACTGTCCCATTCGTCGAATCAACTACAAAAATAAATGTATAAAATGTCCATGGTTAACTAAGGGTTTACAAAATGCTTGTAAAAAGAAAAATACTCTATATAGACAATTTATTAAATTAAGGACAAAAGAACGTGAAAACAGATATAAATCATATAAAAATAAATTGACTAATATAATAAGAACTAGTAAGAAATTATACTATAAAAATGTATTAAATGAAAACAAAAATAATATTAAAGGGGTATGGGGTATACTAAATAGTTTAATTAAAGATAAAACAAATAAGAATCCATATCCAGATTATTTTATTGATATGAATGGTGAAAACTTTAATATGCATAATATAGTAAATAGTTTCAATTAATTTTTTGTAAATGTTGGACCAGATTTAGCAGCAATAATTCCTGAGTATGGAAGTAATAAATTGAGTGAGTCATTTATAGACAGGAATGCGAAGACCATCTTTCTCTCTGATGCGAGTGAGACAGAGATTAAAACTATTGTTAATAAATGCAAAAATAAAACATCTACTGATTGTTATGACATAGATATGACACTAATTAAAAAAGTAATAAATAGTATTTCAAAACCTCTAACGTACATAAGCAATGAATCATTTCAGACTGGAATATTTCCAAATAAAATGAAAACTGCAAAAGTAATACCAATGCATAAAAATGGAAACAAGCACATCTTCACAAACTATAGACCGGTCTCTCTGCTACCTCAATTTTCAAAAATTTTAGAGAAATTATTTAATGATAGATTAGAAAAATGTATGGTAACACTTTAGACATTCTATTAAAATATGATATAATAAATGAAAGTCAGTATGGTTTTAGAGCAAAGAGATCAACATCAATGACCATAATTGAAGCTATATATATATATTTTGCTCGAAATAAACTTAATCAATCAATCAAAAAACAATGATTAGAATTATAACTGTAACCAGAACAACGACCAGAATTACAATAATAACCAGAACAATGACTAGAATTACAATAATAACCAGAACAATGACTAGAATTATAATAATAACCAGAACAATGACTAGAATTATAATAATAACCAGAACAATGACTAGAATTACAGCTGTAACCAGAACTGTAAACAAAACCATAATTATAACTATAACAATAACTATAATGAGTACAACAACAATAATGATACAATAACAATAACCATGACATAACCATGTTACATCCATAACAACAACTATAATGATAACCATAACAAAATTGTAACCAAAACTAACTAACTAAATATAAGCATAACTACAATAGCTAATGATAACGATTACGACAATAATTTTAAAGATAACTATAACAATGACTATTACCATAATTGATTATAACTATTACAATAACTATAAGAATTACTAATGACAACTATAATGATTATAACTATAACAACAACAACTACAACAATTACTATGATAACTATAACAATAACTATAATCGTAACAATAACTAATGATAACTATAACAATTACTAATGATAACGATAACAATTATAACAATAACTCTAATGAGATAACTATAACCATAACTAATGATTACAATAACTATAACTACTAATGATAACTATAACTAATTAGCTATAACTAAAACTAATTATAACTATACTAATTAATTATAACTACAACTATAAACATAACTAATGACAATTATAGTGATAACTATAACAATAACTAATGATAACTAACAATAAGTATAACAATAACAATACTTATATCAATAACAATAACCATAAATAAAAATAACTATAACAATAACGATAACTGTAACAATAAATATAACAATCTATACAAGTCAGATGGATTCTGACTGGCTGTCAATACTTTTATCGTTTATCAGCTGAAAGAAAAATATTTCTGAAAGTGATTCCAACAATATCGTTCCTCTGTGTCGTTATCGTTACAGTTGTGCTGCAGAATTCACAATGCTCTTATTCGCTTATTCTCGATTATAACACTTTCTGGTTATAATGATGTTTACAGTGATCTTTCCTGGTGTGAACGGCTCTGAAGAGCAGCAGTCGTACGTTTAGCAGTGTGACTGTAACGGAGCTCAGTAAAACACGTCCTGAACCAGCACACTGTTCTGGACCAGGACTAAATGAGGATGAGTTTGGCTGAATGATCCCTTGAAACACACACACAGATACACACACACACTTGTGTTTCTCCGAATGACAGTAAGTGTGTGTTGAGTTGATGAGATTTGATTTGTGTGAAACTCTGATGAGAGCAGCAGCTTTATCACAGATTATCACAGATTACCGTATGTGTGTGTGTGTGTGTGTGTGTGTGTGTTGCCATCTTTATGTGATCAAACATCTGACAGTCAAAACTCAGCAGCCGATGGACAATGTGAGAAAAACAGCCTCATGAACACAACGAATAATGAAACTGATGAAAATACTGAAAGAGGTCAATGGCAGGGGTGTGTGTGTGTGTGTGTGTGTCTGTGTGTCTCACCTTGTGTGTTTTCAGCCGAACTCTCACTCCTCCATCTCAGAAACCACATGATGCTGTAGCGTTCTCATACCCTACTGCACACACACACAAACACATCAGTATTAGTGGAACATATGTGAAATATTCTTTATATATTCAAAATAGAGTGATTGACTAATGCACCTCACAATCAATAAAGCATCTGTGTGTGTGTGTGTGTGTGTGTGTGTGTGTATAGCGTGCATCTGTTTCTCTGTGTGTACTGTACTTGTTTTGACTATACTTGTAGGGACCAAATGTCCTCACTTATATCGTGAAATACTTTGACAGCCCACCGATGAGGACATTTCACTGGTCCTCGCTAGCTAAAACGTCTTACATATCAGCCAGAAGATGTTGTTGATGTAACATTAACCTGATAGAAAATCAATGGAAGTCTATGCAATATCTCATTAAGATGAGTGAGTGTGTATGTGTGTGGGTATGTGTGTGTGTGTGTATAGCGTGCATCTGTTTCTCTGTGTGTACTGTACTTGTTTTGACTATACTTGTAGGGACCAAATGTCCTCACTTATATCGTGAAATACTTTGACAGCCCACCGATGAGGACATTTCACTGGTCCTCGCTAGCTAAAACGTCTTACATATCAGCCAGAAGATGTTGTTGATGTAACATTAACCTGATAGAAAATCAATGGAAGTCTATGCAATATCTCATTAAGATGAGTGAGTGTGTATGTGTGTGTGTGTATGTATGTGTGTGTGTGTGTGTGTGTGTATGTATGTTACCTGTGGACACTGAGAGCAGTCGGTCTGCAGTATTTCTCTCTGTTCTTGTAATTGTGTGTGTTTGTGTGTGTTTGCCCTCTGGAGCTGCTGATCTTCAGCGTCCTGGTTTTCAGAGCGTCTGCAGAGAGAAAAGACCTTCATTTTCAGACAGAACTCACACACACACACACACAGACTCTCTCTCTCTCTCTCACTCAGACACACACACACACTCTCTCTCTCTCTCTGTCTCACTCAGACACACACACTCACACACACTCACACACACTCACGTTCAAATTCACTGAGAACAAAATCATTTACATAAATGTTCTCTGTTAAATTGTTTTCTCTTTCTATGAGTTTGTGTTTTATCAAAGTTTAGTAGGCAAAAAAGTAGAGAAAAAGAACAAACTATCACACATTTAAGACGTACGTGAAAAGAATCGTGTGCAAAAACAGCGTTTGTGATCCAAATCAGAAACCACAACAATATTCTGACTACGTAAGCGCAGTATTAAATATTTTATTATAAACAATGTAATTACAACTCTCTAATCATCTCTAAATGAAGTTAAATTCAAGTCAATTTTTATATTCACAATACAGTTTAAAAGCAGCTGATGTTAATGCTTATAATATCTTAATATCTTCATGCCTTACAGTGGCGTTATCAAATTGGAGCTGGCCAATTCTGCAATGACATAAATCAAGAAGTTGAGACTTGCCATATAGTATATATCGCTTTATGTAACTACACTGCATGTATGCAGAAAAACTTTATAGGAAGAACTGCAGGATAATATAAACTATCCTGTAAAACCAGCAGCCTACTGTAAAACCAGCAAACGATTATTTCAAGAGGGAAATGTGTAAATATGATGTGTGTGTGCGTGCGTGCGTGCGTGCGAGCGAGCGTGCGTGTGTGTGTGTGAGTGAGTGAGTGAGTGAGTGAGTGAGTGAGTGAGTGAGTGAGTGAGTGAGTGAGTGAGTGAGTGAGTGAGTGAGTGAGTGAGTGAGTGAGTGAGTGAGTGAGTGAGTGAGTGAGTGAGTGAGTGAGTGAGTGAGTGAGTGAGTGAGTGAGTGAGTGAGTGAGTGAGTGAGTGAGTGAGTGAGTGAGTGAGTGAGTGAGTGAGTGAGTGAGTGAGTGAGTGAGTGAGTGAGTGAGTGAGTGAGTGAGTGAGTGAGTGAGTGAGTGAGTGAGTGAGTGAGTGAGTGAGTGAGTGAGTGAGTGAGTGAGTGAGTGAGTGAGTGAGTGAGTGAGTGAGTGAGTGAGTGAGTGAGTGAGTGAGTGAGTGAGTGAGAGTACATGTGTGTGTGTGTGTGTGTGTGTGTGAGTGAGTGTGTGTGAGTACGTGAGTGTGAGTACGTGAGTGTGAACTCGTGTGTTCATATGAAGTCGCTCTCATTCTGTGCTGAACGGGCGAGGCGGTGTGAGGACGCGATGGCTGCACGGAGGTGTTTGTTTGTGTTGGCGTCTCTCAGGTGTCTGGAGTGTCGCTCGCTGCGCGTCTGGCAGGTATAAACAGGTGTGAATGTGGCATTGCGGCGTGTGCAGCAGGAGCAGCGCTGTGTCTCCTCCACTACAGCACTGCTCTGTTCAGCTGTTCAGTCTCACATTGCTTCCCCTGAGCGGAGAGACGTTTCTGATCAAACCTACAGGTTTTAAATCAGACAAAAGCTAAATATCTGTGTGTTTGGTCAAATTCAGGTAAAATGTACTAAGATGCACACAGCAGCTACACTATAAATAATAATACATAATCAAATAAACCACTAGAATGCAATGCAATGCAAGGCACTTAGGGTAAATGTCTTCAAAGTAGAAATGGTTTATTAAAGGGGTCATGTGATGTTGCTAAAAAGAACATTATTTTGTGTATTTGGTGTAATGAAATGTGTTTATGCGGTTTAAAGTTAAAAAAAACACATTATTTTCCACATACTGTACATTATTGTTTCTCCTACGAGTTGCGTTGCATCGCGCCTCGTAAACATAAAACCATGTCTGCATTTGTGATCGGCGAAATGACAAACAACAAGCGCTACTCTACACTGCCCAAAACTTGCGTTTGAATCGTCAGTGGCAAATCCTTTAAATATGAAAACGTACCTTCAGGCTGTGAGTCAGCATTATTTGTCAGCATCATAGACTGTGGTCAGCATGCGCGCCGAAGGGGAAAAGGGAACTGAATTCACCGGAACACCGGCGGCTACTCTCCCAGGATACAGTCCTCATCCTCCATAAAATGCTCTGCACAAATCTGAATATTTGGGTTGAACTGTTCTGGAACAGTGTTGTAAATACAACTTAACCACTGATTTCTAGTTGTGTCCTCTTTTGGAAGACCAAACAAAGTAGTTTCGCTTTCACAACGAAACACAGCGCCTTATATAAATGAGACCTAATAGAATAGAATAGAATAGTATAGAATAGAATAGAATATGTAAGTGCTAGTATTAATTGGTCAGGTGCTGGCAAAAAAGATGTGTATTTAAATGTTTTCTGAAAATGGCCAAAGACTCAGCTGCTGGGATTGAGATAGGCAGGTTGTTCCAGCAGCTGGGAACAGTCCAGGAAAAGGTCCATGCTCTTTGCAACTTTAGGGATCTTATCTATTCACGAACAGCTTGTAACACTCCAAAGAGAAAGGAAAACTTGAAATCGCATCATTTGACCCCTTTAATGTAATACATATTTTTATTCTAATAATCTCAGCATATCTTCAGGACAGAGAGAGATGTTTTCTATAGGTTTTAAATTGATTGGAAAAACAAGTTTCTACACCAAATCAGGCAATAAATATAAATATAAATACAAATTCAGGTCAAATTTGATAAAAGATGCATATTGCATCTTTAAAAACCAATGATAAAATAAAATGATGAAATAAGCATGTAGAGATTGAATGCAATGTAAATCACTTAGGACAAATAAATGTAAATAAACATCCACAAAGTATTACATCTTTTTATTAGAATAATTTCAAAATCTTTAGTTAGTAGTATTAATTATCTTTTTCTTTTACATTTACATTTAGTCATTTAGCAGACACTTTTATCTAAAGCAACTTACAAAGTAGAAGCAATCAGACCAACGAGAGAGCAACAATATACAAGCGCTGTGACAAGTCTCAGTTAGTCTAGCACAGTGCACATAGCAAGGTGTGTTTTATATATATATATATATATATATATATATATATATAAATAAGACCTAA